CTATAGTAAAAAAATGCTCTCTCTTTTTTTTTTTATACCAAAATTTAAGAATTATCTCTCTTTGTTTTCCCAAATAAATTATGTTTTATGAAAATTCACATAAATATCTTTATAAATATGAACAAGAGGCCCATGGGCCACATCGCTCACCTGAGTAACTTTGGCCATGCTGTTCATTACCAGACTTCCCCCCTTGTAATACCTATTGTGGCCCCGCCCTACCCCCGGGGGTCATGATTTTAACAATTTAGAATCTACACTACCCCAGGATGCTTCCACATAAGTTTCAGTTTTTCTGGTCCAGTGGTTCTTGAGAAGATTTTTAAAGATTTTTCCTATATATTTCAATGTTTCCCTATTGTGGCCCGCCCTACCCCCGGGGGTCATGATTTGAACAATTTAGAATCTACACTATCCCAGGATGCTTCCAGATAAGTTTCAGCTTTTTTGGCTCAGTGGTTCTTGAGAAGAAGATTTTTAAAGATTCTTCCTATATATTTCAATGTAAAACTTGTATTCCCTATTGTGGCCCCGCCCTATCCCCGGGGGTCATGATTTGAACAATTTAGAATCTACACTATCCCAGGATGCTTCCACATAAGCTTCAGCTTTTCTGGCTCAGTGGTTCTTGAGAAGAGCTCAGTGGTTCTTGAGAAGAAGATTTTAAAAGATTTTTCCTATATATTTCAATGTAAAAATTGGATTCCCTATTGTGGCCCCGCCCTACCCCCGGGGGTCATGATTTGAACAATTTAAAATCTACACTACCCCAGGATGCTTCCACGTAAGTTTCGGCTTTTCTGGCTAAGTGGTTCTTGAGAAGAAGATTTTTAAAGATTTTTCCTATATATTTCAATGCAAAACTTGTATTCCCTATTGTGGCCCTGCCCTACCCCCGGGGGTCCTGATTTGAACAATTTAGAATCTACACTATCCCAGAATGCTTCCACATAATTTTCAGCTTTTCTGGCTCAGTGGTTCTTGAGAAGAAGATTTTTAAAGATTTTTCCTATATATTTCAATGCAAAACTTGTATTCCCTATTGTGGCCCCGCCCTATCCCCGGGGGTCCTGATTTGAACAATTTAGAATCTACACTATCCCAGGATGCTTCCACATAAATTTCAGCTTTTCTGGCTAAGTGGTTCTTGAGAAGAAGATTTTAAAAGATTTTTCCTATATATTTCAATGTAAAACTTGGATTCCCTCTTGTGGCCCCGCCCTACCCCCGGGGGTCATGATTTGAACAATTTAGAATCTACACTACCCCAGGATGCTTCCACATAAGTTTCGGCTTTTCTGGCTCAGTGGTTCTTGAGAAGAAGATTTTTAAAGATTTTTCCTATATATTTCAATGCAAAACTTGTATTCCCTATTGTGGCCCCGCCCTATCCCCGGGGGTCATGATTTGAACAATTTAGAATCTACACTATCCCAGGATGCTTCCACATAAGTTTCAGCTTTTCTGGCTCAGTGGTTCTTGAGAAGAAGATTTTTAAAGATTTTTCCTATATATTTCAATGTAAAAATTGGATTCCCTATTGTGGCCCCGCCCTACCCCCGGGGGTCATGATTTGAACAATTTAGAATCTACACTACCCCAGGATGCTTCCACATAAGTTTCGGCTTTTCTGGCTCAGTGGTTCTTGAGAAGAAGATTTTTAAAGATTTTTCCTATATATTTCAATGCAAAACTTGTATTCCCTATTGTGGCCCTGCCCTACCCCCGGGGGTCCTGATTTGAACAATTTAGAATCTACACTATCCCAGAATGCTTCCACATAAGTTTCAGCTTTTCTGGCTCAGTGGTTCTTGAGAAGAAGATTTTTAAAGATTTTTCCTATATATTTCAATGCAAAACTTGTATTCCCTATTGTGGCCCCGCCCTATCCCCGGGGGTCATGATTTGAACAATTTAGAATTTACACTATCCCAGGATGCTTCGACATAAGTTTCAGCTTTTCTGGCTAAGTGGTTCTTGAGAAGAAGATTTTTAAAGATTTTTCCTATATATTTCAATGTAAAACTTGGATTCCCTCTTGTGGCCCCGCCCTACCCCCGGGGGTCATGATTTTTACAATTTAGAATCTACACTACCCCAGGATGCTTCCACATAAGTTTCAGTTTTTCTGGCTCTGTGGTTCTTGAGAAGAAGATTTTTAAAGATTTTTCCTATATATTTCTATGTAAAACATTGATTCCTAATTGTGGCCCCGCCCTACCCCCGGGGGTCATGATTTGAACAATTTAGAATCTACACTACCCCAGAATGCTTCCATATAAGTTTCAGCTTTACTGGCACTGTGGTTCTTGAGAAGAAGATTTTTTAATGACCCCACCCTATTTTTGTCTTCTCTTGATTATCTCCCCTTGTGAGGGGACTTGGCCCTTCATTTTAACAATTTAAATTCCCCTTCACCCAAGAATGCTTTGTACCAAGTTTGGACAAAATTGGCCCAGTGGTTCTTGAGAAGTAGTCAAAAATGTGAAAAGTTTACAGACAGACGGACAGACAGACAGACGGACAGACAGACGGACGGACGGACGACAGACAAAATGTGATCAGAAAAGCTCACTTGAGCCTTCGGCTCAGGTGAGCTAAAAACCATTCAAATTAAATATGTTAACTTTTAAAAAATTTACTTGGAGGTAGGCGGCAGAACAATATTATCGTTCGCAGTTCTTTTCACTCTGGGGGGTGAATGCCTCTTCCATTTTTTGCAGCAGCCAAATCATTTTCTTGAATATGATTGATAGGAACCTGTAGATGTACATATACAGGATTTTTATTTTCACCCTGGGGCCAATTGGGAGTTGAAAAACAAAAAACCCAGGTTTCCAGAACTCTTACATGTAACATTTATGTATTAGATAGTCATCTTGTTATTTGGAGTATGTTTGGTGATGTCCAATAGATGTGCGATAAGCATAAGGGTACGGATTCTTCACTTTCAAACCTGAAGCTAATTGGGGGCCAAAAATTCATTTTTGTTTGTAAAATTTATGTTCCCAGAATGTTTTTTAATACATTTTATGCAGTCGTAATTATATAGCTGTTTTGCTGTATATATGTAATATGGATTTGGAATTTTCATTATCATCCAGGAGGTAAATTAACGACCAAAAATATTTTTAACACAAAAACTTTCTCTCCAAATCCCCTTTTAAACAAATATTAAGTTTCAGACTGACTTATGAAATTATGGTATGAAATACATAAAAAAACCTCATGGACCACACACACAGCTTTGTATTCTATGCTCAATTTGATCATGCAAGTTTATGCATATTATGGAACAAGCAAGTCCAAGAATTGTGGTCCTCGCTTTCGGTGTCTTAGTGTTTGGAAGCAATTATCTATGGCGTATTGTATCTGTCCTGTTTCTGTGTCCTGTCTTGTCTGCCATCACACAAAAAAGATTAATTTTTGAATTGATAAAAGTTTTATTTAAACTTTTCAAAACTGCATCAAGCTTCAAGATCAAGGCCATGAAGTCCAATATTATACTACAATGCAAAAGTTCTTGTCCCAAGTAATGCACAAAAATGCCAACAAAAAATATGAAAGTCTCTATTTTGGTGCAAAATTTAAGGAACTTATGGCCAAAGTTAATTTTTTTTTTTTTTTGAAAAGTAGATCAAACATCTAAGTCAACGCCATGAAGTAAAAAATGATAGACAAAGTCCTTTCTGAAAGGTTTTATCATAGATATTGTACATGTAAAATAAAAAAAAAAAGACATATCTTCTTTCATTCAAACGTCATTACCAAGGTAAAAAAATGAAAAAGACTGAAGGTTAAGGTCATTAGGTCAAAAACCAGGGTAATTTGGAAAGATTTTGAAAGAGGCAATACACATGTCAAATATAAAGGATAATCTTCTCTCATTCATTAGTTATCAGCATGAAAATTAGGTCAAACCTAAAGGTCAAGGTCATGAAGATTAAAAATTATAATATATTTGGAAGCGTCTTGTCACAGGTAATGTACTCTTTAGTTATAAACGGTCTCTTCTTCTCTCAATCATAAGTTATCATCAATGTTAATTTTTTTTTTGAAAAATAGGTCAAACCTCAAGGTTACAGGTCGAATAATCATAGAACCTTCGGAAACGTCTTGCACCTGTCATGCACCTTTCAAATGCCTCATCTTTTTCACTCAGAAGTTATAACCAATATTTCTTTTTGAAATGTAGGTCAACATCAAGGTCAAGGTCACAGGGTAAAAAATCATGGTATGTTTGGAAAGGTCTGATCATAGTTAATGTACATGTGAAACGTGAAAGCCATAACTCTTCTCATTCCAAAGTTATTACCAAGATTAAAGCAATGTTAAAATTTTGGAAAAGTAGGTCAAACTTCAGAGCCAAGATCACATGGTCAAAAATCATAGTTACCATTTGGAAATGTTTTGTCACCGTTAATGTTCATGTGAAGAATGAAAGCTTTATCTTTTCTCATTATAAAATTTATGACAAAGGATAAGTTTTTGTGACAGACAGACAGGCGGACAGACTGACAGACGAATGAAGTTTAATATCTCCTTGCTTTCCGGAAAGCGGTGACAATAACTTTTGTTGCTTAAAACCCAGGACCAGGGAAAGTACATTTAGAAGCAAATGTGTTAATGCTTGTCTATGAAAATATATATCATATGGATATATTTCTGAAGACAGTAACAAACCTAATAGATAATATAAGATCGTCACCAAAACATTTGCAATATATGCAATATGAAAATGTAAAATTGGCCTGTTATGAATGGCTGCTGACTTCATGAAGCATGATAAATACAAGGTGCATTTTTCAACCTATAATTTACATTTCCCATTTTCTCAATTTTTGTGCGAATGCACTTTTATTTTTTTCCCATAAATAGCTATAATGTCTCTAATTAGATGGCTATAGAACCTCTTTTTCTGACCAATGAAATGCACAAAAAGCTGAGGAGATGCATGGTATACATGCCTGTGTTATAACTTGTTTGCATGTTCGCACGTTTGAGTCTATAATACAGAGACAGTGAGTGGTGTCGAGTTTGAATAAATTCAAGGTGATGAATTTCTCAATTCCTTTGGTTTTGTTGCTTTGCATTTTAGCAACTGCTGCGGAGGCCCTAGGCACTCGCTTGACGATAAGAGAGTCGTCTTCAGGTAATACTTTATTAATGTTTGGTTCCTCTCATCTTATTCTCATTATCTCACCGTGCCTACTAAGCATTACTATATGATAAACAAATTATTTATATGTGTATACTCAGAAAGGAAATAAAGGTATGGGATAAAATATGGAGATAACGAATAGTAATCAAGCTGAAACGTCCATTAAACAATACAAAGTTACAGCAGAGCAAACACGGACATCTTAGAACACCAGAGGTGGGATCAGATGTCATAGATGAGAAAGCATCCCCTGTCATGATTGGGCAAACAATTTTTTTTAGACAATTCAGTGTGTAAATAATGGCCTAACAATTTGTATGAAAAACTCATTCGGCGGAAAAATATTAAAACCTTATGCCTTTTTGAGGAAAAAATATTTAATAAGTTAACAATAAGTATAACAAAATGGTAAGTTATATATATGTACTTCGTTAAGACATCTAATTTTTAAAGCAATGTTTTGGCATAGGAATCTCTAAATACATTGCTTCTTGTATCCAGGTATGATTCTGAAGACTATGAATGATAATAAGAACTATTTTTTATTATGACATAACGCTTTATACCATGACATGGACATTAAAAAACAGTCAGATGGCAAATGCAGATGTGAAGTTTCAAAACAATTTTCACTTCATATTGTATTTTTTTTTATTCAGCTCTTAAATCAATTATATTTTTTTCATTTTGTGCATTTATGGTTTTTGTAGGCTGCAAAGCGGGGTGGAAAAAATATCAAAACCATTGTTATGCATTTTTTGACCAGAACGTCAATTGGTTTCAAGGACAGGTTTGTGTTCTACTATTGAAAAAAAGAAACTTTTGCTTAGTAATGGAAATGTATCAAAATTTGTTTCAAAGTAATAAGGTATGAGGATTTCGTATTGTTTATATTATATATTTCAGATGTATTGTAATGAACTTGGTGGAACTTTAGTGAATATCGAAAATTTTGAAGAAAACGCATGGATCGCAACACAATTTACACAAAGTAAGAAAATATAAATCTAGTTTCAACTACATGTAATGTTTTCTTTGGCTGCTCTTGGTTATACGAGGGGTTATCAAAAAGTTCGTGGACTAGCGCCATAAAATTAAAACCGCTTTAGGTATATCAATGAATTTTAATACATTAGTTAGCATCATCTTTCTATCGATAGAATAAACCATAAAATCATAAGTTTTATTTTTTAATAAATTGTTATTGTTTTTGTAAGCAATGGTATGTCCAAGCGGCGCAACCTCAAATATGACGTTTTTTTCTACCTGAGTGTAACTGAGAAAAACTCTTTTAATATGAGCATTTGTCGTCAAAAAATCCGGTTAATCCAGGCATGTGGTACAACACAATTGTTCCGTAAAATTTGCAATTTTTACCCCATTCTGTAAATTCTATGAAATTTTATCGTAAATTTATATGGAGTGTACAAACAATTAAGGGTTCAAAAATGACGTCAAAAAGGGGGAGGGGTTTCTGTTTCCAACATTCTTTAAAGTTTCGCACCTGGAAAAACTGGTATAGACCTAGGGAATGTTTAAACGGGCTACTAAAAATAAAACACATCCAGAGTACTCGTTTTAAATAGCCAAAAAGATTCAGAGAGATGAAAGATGCACAGTTAAAGTCAATTTGTAGTGAGGGTGTCAAAAATCAGTCAAGTGAGGATCTTTCCTTATGTATAGATACATTTACAATATTATATCCATTGAAAGCAGCTGTTCATGACATTGTAAAGTCACATAAACAAGACGGACTTAAGTCCTTACTTAACTCCAGGTAATCACATCAAGATAAGTGTATAAGGTAGACGAGTGGACATTGAGAAACAATGACGTTGTCAGACGTCATGAAACTAAACGGCGACAGTGCCGGGTGATCATATAATGTCTTTTTAGCTCACCTGAGCCGAAGGCTCAAGTGAGCTTTTCTGATCACATTTTGTCCGTCGTCCGTCCGTCCGTCTGTCCGTCTGTCCGTCTGTCTGTCCGTCCGTCTGTAAACTTTTCACATTTTTGACTTCTTCTCAAGAACCACTGGGCCAATTTTGACCAAACTTGGTACAAAGCATCCTTGGGTGAAGGGGAATTTAAATTGTTAAAATGAAGGGCCAAGTCCCCTCACAAGGGGAGATAATCAAGAGAAGACAAAAATAGGGTGGTTCATTAAAAAATCTTCTTCTCAAGAACCACAGGGCCAGTAAAGCTGAAACTTATATGGAAGCATCCTGGGATAGTGTAGATTCTAAATTGTTCAAATCATGACCCCCAGGGGTAGGGCGGGGCCACAATGTGGAATCAATGTTTTACATAGAAATATATAGGAAAAATCTTTAAAAATCTTCTTCTCAAGAACCACTGGGCCAGAAAAGCTGAAACTTATGTGGAAGCATCCTGGGATAGTGTAGATTCTAAATTGTAAAAATCATGACCCCCGGGGGTAGGGTGGGGCCACAATAGGGAATCCAAGTTTTACATTGAAATATATAGGAAAAATCTTTAAAAATCTTCTTCTCAAGAACCACTGGGCCAGAAAAGCTGAAACTTATGTGGACGCATCCTGGGGTAGTGTAGATTCTAAATTGTTCAAATCATGACCCCCGGGGGTAGGGCGGGGCCACAATAGGAAATCCAAGTTTTACATTGAAATATATAGGAAAAATCTTTAAAAATCTTCTTCTCAAGAACCACTGGGCCAGAAAAGCTGAAACTTATGTGGAAGCATCCTGGGGTAGTGTAGATTCTAAATTGTTCAAATCATGACCCCCGGGGGTAGGGCGGGCCACAATAGGGAATCCAAGTTTTACATTGAAATATATAGGAAAAATCTTTAAAAATCTTCTTCTCAAGAACCACTGGGCCAGAAAAGCTGAAACTTATGTGGAAGCATCCTGGGGTAGTGTAGATTCTAAATTGTTCAAATCATGACCCCCGGGGGTAGGGCGGGCCACAATAGGGAATCCAAGTTTTACATTGAAATATATAGGAAAAATCTTTAAAAATCTTCTTCTTAAGAACCACTGGACCAGAAAAGCTGAAACTTATGTGGAAGCATCCTCAAGTAGTGTACACTCTAAATTGTTCAAATCATGACCCAGGGGATAGGGCGGGGCCACAATAGGGGGAATCCCAAGTTTTACATTGAAATATATAGGAAAAATCTTTAAAAATCTTCTCAAGAACCACTGGACCAGAAAAACTGAAACTTATGTGGAAGCATCCTGGGGTAGTGTAGATTCTAAATTGTTCAAATCATGGCCCCTGGGGGGAGGGTGGGGCCACAATAGGTATTACAAGGGGGAGTCTGGTAATAAACAGCATGGCCAAGTTACTCAGGTGAGCGATGTGGCCCATGGGCCTCTTGTTTAATTTTAGAATAATTTGGCAAATTATCAACGTATCAAGTTAAAATTAAACATTTGTTGATTTATGTTTTTCATAAATTTTGTAAGCACAGACTACATAGTATTAATTTTATCGCATCAGTCCACGAATTTTTTAATAACCCCTCGTAGTAATTAAAATTTCTTCAGAAATAGATCAAATTATTATTTATTATAAAATTTGGTTGACAGACTCTATATGGATTGATGCAACAGACATTGGAAACGAGGGAGTTTGGAGATCTTTTTCCACTTGTCAACCCACGCTCAATAATTGGTCGGCAGGAAACCCTAATAACTGGCGTGGATCCCAAAACTGCGCAACAATCAACTATGGAGGTCCAGGAATGTGGGATGATGACAATTGCTTCAAAAACCGTCCATTTATTTGCGAATCATTGGGTATGAACATTTAAAGTAAAAAAATCTTTTACATAAATATTGCTTTAAGAAGTACTACTCATTCTTTCATTGTTGCTTTTCCGCATAAGTAGTGACCAACAATATACTTCGAAAAAAGGGTAAAATTAATTTTTCTGATTTGCCAAATGTATAAATCTGATTCAGTATCAAATTTTCAGTTATATTTATCAATATTTAGTATCACAATATGATAATATTTTAATAAGAAAATAAAATGTTTACTATTTATGATTAGCTTATTTAATATATTACATGTGCATCAAAATAAATAATCTATTTCTTATTTTTATGTTTTGTAGGAAATGCGTGATGACTGTGTAAGCAGAAAAGCCAGACAGTTTTTCAAATAAATCATACTGAAGAAATGCTATTTATTTGCTTGTTATTCAAAACAGTTTATCTTTAGCAGTTGAACTTATATATAAATCCGTTCGTATTGTTTTGAGAAGTTTTGAGTACGTTTCAAATATCTTGTCTACAATTCCTGAGATAGATTCATTCTTTATTATTCAGATGGTTAAAGGTGATAACAGCTTGTTTTATCCTTGAATATTAACATAGATAATCATTCTGAAAAAAAATACGAAATTAATTTAAAACCAATTATTGTTTTCATCGAACAGTTTAATAAACACCATTTCTTCCCCACTTTTGGAAATAGGTAAGAGATAGATCAATAATTATTCCAGATTTAGATTGTATGGTAATTGTAAAGGGATTTTTTCTGGTTGTTAAAACAACATCATCATTGAAGAAGCATTTTTAACTTTGAGAAGGTTCCTTTGTGCATGACCTGAAGCATATCACATAGAGATATATGCTTTGCATATCAAAATTGAAATACCATAGTTGTCCACTTTTTTCATTCAGTAAGACTTAAACATTTTTTTTTGGTTATGTTTTCTGCAGCTGAAACAAAGTGATGAATGCCCTATGTTTAAATTCTTTATACGCCACTCACATGTATGCGTAATATATGTATGAAGCATTTAACTATGGTCTATACACTTGTCAAAATTTCCTCACCTTTTTTATTTAAAAAAATTCAAAACCCTTACATCAATTTATAAGTGGCTTACAATTTACAATGCTTACCCGACAAGACAAAAAAAATTGCAATAGAATGTGTGATTACTGTACCGTGACCTTTTTGTTGAAAGCATGAAGTGCGAGTTCCATATGTTTTTCGGGTGAATTTTTAATTAATTAATTAATTAATTAATTAATTTTTTTTTTTGGGTTCTCATGTGTTGTCTACTTTTAGTTGTTTACGAAAAACAAATAAGAAATTGAGTAAAATGCGGCGCATGTCCACACAAAAATGTGCAAGAGAAGTTTACATGGTTCAAGCTGGGTGTAGTTCACTATGGCATGTCAAACGTTGCAATATTCGATCTTTTCCATTTGTATTGTATAACTTTCCATTTGTATTGTATAATTTTTATTTGTATTGTATAATTTTTCATTTGTATTGTATAATTTTTCATTTGTATTGTATAATTTTCAATTTGTATTGTATAATTTTTATTTGTATTCTATAATTTTCCATTTGGATTTTATAATTTTCCATTTGGATTGTATAATGTTTATTTGTATTCTATATTTTCCATTTGTGTTGTAAAAAAAAATCATTTGTATTGTATAATTTTTCATTTGTATTCTATATTTTCCATTTGCATTGTATAATTTCTTATTTGTATTGTATATTAATTTCTTATTTGTATGCGATAATTTTTCATTTGTATTGTATCCGAGGATTGTTTATTTATTTCGTTACGAAGGATGTCATTGGTCATAAAATTTAGTCTGTATTTATAAAGGTCTCAGGTGCCCATCACAAACTTAGTCTGGTACCCTTCCCACAATTCCGATCGCGCACTCTCTACAAACACAAACTCGGCTCCTCTATTTGCGGTGCATGCTAAGGGACGACCATTTGATTCTCGGGGGGTGTCGAATCCGATTATTCATTTTCATTCTCTCGCAGGAGAGAATATTTATTTCCAATATGACCAGAGACAAGGAGAAAAACAAAAAGAAGAAAATACGCCCAAACCCGAAAACTCAGTTTTTTGGGGGTGGGGGTAGTTACCACCACTCAAGGTCAATTTATTTATTTTCTCAGTCAGCATTCCTAAGGACAGATTATTTATTTGCCATCTACCAGCGCTCCCTTTTTAGAATCCAATGACCGTCTAACATGCACGCAAATACATATGCCGCCGAAATATGGCTGAAATATTGCCGACTCGGCGTTAAACAATAATCAATCAAGCAAGCAAGCAAATACATATGAGCCCAGTTTGCTTTGAGCATCCGGAACATCTTCAACCCGATACGGGCTGAAACTTGACCAATGAAATCCTTCGTAACGAAACAAATAAACAATCCGCGGATGCAATACAAATGAAAAATTATCGCATACAAATAAGAAATTTTACAATACAAATAAGAAATTATACAATGCAAATGGAAAATTATACAATACAAATGAAAATTATACAATACAAATAGAAAATTATGGAATACAAATAAAAATTATACAATGCAAATGGAAAATTATACAATGCAAATGCAAAAGATCGAATATTGCAACGTTTGACATGCCATAGTTCACGATAGATTTGTTTTCTTTCACTATACGTGTTTATTATGCTTACGACCTTTCAAAATACCATCCGAAAGACCAACAGAGATTACATTAATTCCTTACAATTATAAGAAGTCCTTAGATTTTGAACGAGGGGTCAGAACATTTTCATTCAGGGTAAGGGGAATGAATTTTTCGATCGTTATACAGATACTGGATTGGAAGAGTCTATAGGCCAAAACATATCCTAATTATGTACATAAAATATCTGCATTTAACTTAGCTACGTAAATTGACTTAATATTGATGCATGTTTGGTTTATGGCATGTATTTTTGAATTGCTTATCGGTAAATGGTAATTGCTTGTTGCAAATGCCAGTCTCATTTCATCTGCTTTTATTTGAAATGAGATTGATAATTTCAAATGACATGTATATGTACTACAAACAAAAAATTTAAATTACTTGACGGTATAAAGAGTGTTTACGTAACATCGTACACGACAGATAAGTACTTTTACAGCTCGTGCTGCTGAAGAATTTCAATGTTATATTGCGATAGAAATTGCTGAAGTGTGCGAATTGACTAAATGATGTTTATTTCCTGACAAGGTCATTGTATGGACCATAAAACTTGCAAAATGATGCCTTCAAATGATTTCCTTACCTAGGATGCAAAATGATGCAAATCTAGACCTATATTTGGCACCCAGGCCATTGAGCAGTGAGGGTTCTTAGGTAATATGCAAAGTTGCTTATCATTTTCTATCGACAAAAAGACAGGTCCCCTTTTTTGGAACATAAAAATTTTACTTATCGAATAAATACGTTCTTTACACAGTTTGTGTTTTATATTCATTAAGACAAACAAATTTTTGATGATAGGTGATACGTACATGTGTCTGTTTCTAATTTATATTTTATGCAGCCAACAGTTACTTGATAAAGTACAAAACGGTATCGTTTTTGTTCACTTTTCATCCGATTAGAAACTCCTTAAATCTTCTCCACTAATGTTTTGATCATTCAGACGCATGCCTTTATCAAACAAATCGAAGCGGTTTGATGATCAAGACAAATTCCATTGTTATCGGAAGAATTCATAGTCATACATGATATACAAAAAATGTCCACAAAGAACACAAGTGGTTTGAAACTTGACCGAGAACATAATTGATCTAACTCATGACAAGTAATTGTTCCCACTAATAATTAGTACATTTTGCATAAATATTTGGTCGGTCATTTTCCACACATAACTCATGAGTGTAACTTAACTTAACTTTTGATGTCTAAAGGTCAAGGGTATGTCTATACATGTATAAAGTAATAATAGTCATTTCTTAGTTATAAATACAGGACTATGAACTTAATTGTATTCAATCAAGGAGATCAATTTGCTTAATTAACGGATGTTGACAGATTCAAATCTAGGGCTATAAATGTAAAACGACCATTCACTTAAGTTTTTTTTTCGCAAAAAATGTTGGTGTTGGTACCTTGACTCAAGACTAAAATTAAGAATATAAGAATTACAGGCACGTCTAAATATAACAAAATCATGATATTTTACTTCATTGATTTCCCGGGCGACAATTGATGGCAACATCGATGGTTTCTTTTGTTATACAGTTTCAAGTTGAACACGACTCGTAAATAGGCATACGCCATTTTCGATATTACTATCTACGATATCAGCACTGGGGTGTACTCTTTGCATTCGTTACACCTGACTACTTTATTGTCACGGGTATCGGCGTGGAATGGCAACCTGTGTTCGTGCTGGTTATCTTGCATTACCTTTGTTTACATTTTATTGCAGTAACGTGAATTTGTGTTTGTTTGTATACTGCACTGACATGTGCAACTGTTGTAAGTTTTATTGGTTTCTTACTTTCCTGCATAAGAAGAAGTACTCTGTTATTTTTTGTCGCTACCGAGTGCTGTATAAGCATACATCCGTCTACACCAGTGACGATTGATTACACTGAACAGTGACTAAATGAGCGGCTTTATATAGGGGCCCTTAGATATAGCAAGAGACCAATCGAATATGGCGGACACATTCTTTTTATGAATCGTGTTCAGCTTTAATTGTTAGATGTCCATTATCGTCTATAGGCTGTTGATGCAGACTCTGTAGTGTCTTTTATATCGAGCTCACTTGTATATAACGAGTTCACTTCAATAACTGAAAATTTTATATTTGTCTCCGCTTTCAGTATAGTGCAGGGACATCAAAATATAAATCCGATTCGTCGATCTGTCCATCCCTCAATCTGTCAGTCTCTCTGTGACTAGAACTTTAATAAAATCTTGGTCATAACTTTTGAATGAAAGTAGATAGGGATTTCATAAGTCACATGTGCATTATCTGTGACAAGACCTTTGCGAATGTACTATAATTTATTACTTAAAAATTGTAATTTTTTAGCATAATTGACCGACAAGAAAAACAAGACAGTTACAATATGTAAGGGTTTATAAAAATCTATTACCCATGTGATTCCATGTCTTCTAATATTCTATGTGTTTTCGATGTGAAAAAGTTAACAATAAATACCATAGGGATATATAACTACCACAAACAACTAAGTACCACTACACATTTCTGAAAAATTAAACAGGGCTCAAAGACCCTGACAAAAAGATTCTATAACTAAATCAAGTCATTGGGTATGTATGTCTGTTTGATGTTTCATTAACAAGTGGGTTGAGAAAAAACGAGTCAAAAACAATATGAGGATGTTCAACAAATATATTAATACAGTTTCAGATGTAAAACTGAACAACAATGTTAAAGTGCGATGCAGTTCCCTGAATGAAACTTGGTGAAAGTATCGTTAGCAGGGCTCCCACTGGACCAAAATTCTCTTTCACCACTTTTGCGTGGAGCATATCACGACCTTTTTTTTAAAAAAAACTTTTTCCCATTTATATAGGCCTACTAAGTATTCATTTTTTAATATATTCCATATCATATCTACTATAATATTCTATTCTTAAACTTGTAATCATCTCAATGCTTCACTTATTTAATATCCAACCAGCATTTTTTCTGAAAGAATAACAAGTTATAGATTTTAAAATATTTTATTATGGATTTGAACAACATCATAACAGGTACTGTAGTATGCATTTATAATATCATAAACTGTCAGCACATACATAATACATATAAAGGTAAAAATAATGATTATCTCAGAGATTCCAAACAAATACAGAAAATGTTTGTTATGAAGTTTATTGGCGATTAAGGGCACGGCTGATATTGAATACAAACAACATTCACAACACAAATCACAACTGTCAAATGTGGGCTGCATACAACTAGCAAGCCCCAAAAAGTATGAACAACATATCATATCAAATAGGTGACCTTGATCCTGGGAGTGGCAAGACTCAAGGTCAAAGTTCAACAAATGCATAGGTGACCTTGATCCTGGGAAGTGCAGGACTCAAGGTCAAAGTTCCAACACATACAAGCAATATGACCTTGCCACTGAGAGGTGCAGAGGTCAAGATCAGTTTCAAATGTCATGTTTCACAAATTATATAGTAAAAGCCGCTCGCTACGCTTCTGATGTGTCAGCCATACGAGGTGTGAAGATCGTTGATGGTTTTATCCTGAAATACATAAAACAACCAGTATCAATGTTTCGACTAACAAAAATTGCATACAAGAATTAAGATTAACGGTGTGGGTGGGTTTGGGATTGAAAATAATTGTTGATTTTGAATTCAATTTGACATGAATAAATTGCACCATCCTTACTGTTGCAGTGATTGAAGAGAAAAGGGAGATTAATTTGAGTGTGCATGACTTATATATATCTGCTTTTTGTGGGTTTTTAACAATGACTTTGTTCCGGTTTTTAAAGAGAAATGAAATATGAAGATAACGAACAGTATTCAATCTAGAAAGTCCAATGAAAAGATACAAATCTGGAGCAGAGCAAACACGGACCACAAAATTAAGAGGTGGGATCAGGTGCCATGGAGGAGTGAGCATCCCCTGCCGACCGGTCACACCCACCGTGTGCTCTTTGTCATGATTAAAAAAAAACCCGGAAAATCCGTAGACAGTTTAGTGTCTAAATAATGGCCCAACAATCAGTATGAAAAACGTCAGTCACCATTTGACTCAATTATATGTTGTTTGTGCTGAAAAGATCATTGTATTGACCATAAAACTTGCGAAATAATGACTTCAAAAGAGACTTTTGATATCCCTGTTTCATCAACTTGTTTGTTAATAGCTCGCCTCGTTTTAGAAATTGTTCATACGTAGAGCATGTTCTTGGATATCGAATCAACTGAGAGACATAAACCCCATGTGCAGGTGATAAGGGTATATTACTACATACGTAAGGGAAGTTGACGATTGAAAAGTTGAAGTCATCACGTTTATCATAAAGCTTTGTTGTTACATGTACTTTACCATTAAGGTCTTTTTCTAGTAAAATATCTAAATATGAAACAGATGTATCAGACTCTGTGGTATCTTTATTTCAAGCTCACTGAGATATATCGAGTCGACACATGAATGGAAGTAAATATTGTTAATTGATAATACGTCGTCGATATATCGAAATGTCGAGCTTAAGGCCACAGCAAGTGTTTTCTTCTTCTCATGTACAAGTTTTTGAATTAATTCTGCTTCATATGAATACAAAAATAGGTCTGCTAATAACGGTACACATGGGAATTCAAACAGATTGTTGGAAGACCTGATCTCCAAAAACTACATAGATATTGTCAATCAGAAACTCAAGCATCTTTATAAGATAAACTGCAGAGTACTTGTGTGTACAATCAGAATGCTTTTTAAGAAAATACTTTTGCAAATGACCAGTGACAAGGAAAGTATATTTACGAGTTCCATTTTTATTGAAAAAGCAGCTGTCTATGATATTAAAAAGCCTGAAAAGAATGAGACTGATTTAATTTGACATACATGCAAGTGGCAGATAACAAACATATTCGATGAATATTTCTTCAGGCACACCAGTTTCTAAAGAAAATTGCATTTCCTGAAATGATATTTTTTCGTCATTGCTTAAAATAACAAGGAACTGCTAAATGAGGTAGGTATGAACAGTATTACAAAATATTTCCTTTGATAAAATAAAATCAATGTGGTTGAATTTAAGCAAGATGTGTTTGTAAAATACTGATGCTCCGTATGACACCCCAAGGCCAAAGGTTAAAGTTTTTCAAATGTAAGTCAAACTCCAAGGTCAAGAGTTAAAATATGTTGATACCCGAAGAAAGGTCTTATTACAAGGAACACACAGGTGAAATATAATAATATTAGTACCAATCAGTCAGAAAATATTGCCAAGATTAAAGTTTTTCAAAAAAGTAGTCATACTCCAAGGTCAGTGATATGAAGTTTAAAAAAATAATGGTACTAAAGGAAAGCTGCTCAAAAGGAATGTATAAGTAAAGTATGGAAGTCCTAGTAGCAACTGTTCAAAAGTTATAGGCAAGGTTAAAGTCTTTTCTTATGTTGGTCAACCTCATATGTGAACACCATGAGTTAAAACTGTTGGTACTTTAAGAAAGGTATTCTTATCATAAGGAATACACATGTGATTTATGAACGTCCTAATAGCCCAAATTCAAAGTTATGGTCAAGAATTTTTTTTTACAAAAGAAGGTCAAACTCAAATGTCACGTTTAAAAACGTTGGTATCGTAAGAAAGATCTGGACCTATGGAATATTCATGTGAAATATAAAAAGCCTTGCTCAAACAGTTAAAAAGTTATGGCCAAGGAAAAAGTAAATTTTTGTCAAAGTAGGTCAAACTCTAAGGTCAAGTTAAAGAGGTCAAATATGTTGGTACTATAAGAAAATCCTTGTCTCAAGGAATACACATGTGAAGTATGAGATTCCTAGCACCAAACATTCAAACGTGATTTGCAAGGTTAAAGTTTTTAGGGACAAACAGATTAACACACACACACAGACAGACGGACAGACATATATACCCCCGAATCTTCAATTACGGGGCATAATTATTAAATGAAGATATCCTTGTAGATCAATTTTATTTACCCAAAACTGCACTTACTGTAAGAAAATAAATAAGTGCAGGATTGAGTTCTGGACTACTTTAATAAGAAACCGACCAATCTTTACAGAAAATTCCTTCATTTACTTTCCGGATATTTCACAAATAAATGAAAACTTTTTAGAACAAGGCCAGTCATTCCATTTTCCCAAAGTTATAAAATTCGTCACTGCACAGTGCTCCAGTCTTCCGCCATTTGTCGGCTGGTCCTTTTTCCAGCTTGTAAACTTACGCTTACCCGTTGAAAAAGATCTCCAGTCCAGTCACCTTCTTTTCCTAGGTCTATTCGATCTATCCATATATTATCTGTAAATAAGAATGAGCGATGCATTAAAGTAATTTGAAAAGAATAATGTGAAATGCAGAAACGTTGTAATTAAGATATACCTGACTTATATTGAGATGAGATCCACTTATTCTCATTCTGGCCATCAATTTGCACTAAAGTATATCCATGTTGTCTACAGAACATCTGAAAAAAACATATTTTGATAATAAAAACAACACGTACAGAAAATCGTCATAATTCTATCCTTTATAATACACTTTCATACTAGTATGCTTACATTCTTGAAATCAATCCCTTACGTGTGTTTGAGCTTTTTGTTATTTTTATCAATTTAACCAATTTAAAGTTGTAAGTTTCTGAAGTTATTATGCTACTGTACAAATATTTAAAAAAAAAAAAAAAGATTATAAGGGTCCTGGACACAGTTGCATTGTTTGCAATTTTAAATGTCTATTTTTATTCAAAACATGATTTGAACTTACCTGAATATTCTAAGACTTCGTTGACAGCGACATTCTTCGTAACATCACGTCCGACATCTGAGTAAGTAAACATGACACGATCTCTGTTATTGTTAGTGTTTACGTTTTACAGGCGTGTCTAATTTGTTTAGTCTGCACACATCACTGAGAATGGAGTGACAAAACTGGTGACTTAATTTTGCTTTCTCGCATTTCTACTCTGAACTTTCTGGATTATAGTTTACATATTTTTCATTAATACAAAACAAAATTTTATGGATAAAGTTTACTTCGTGAAAGTGCAAGGATATGTGTCAATAAAACGCGTCCCGAAAATCATAGTTTAAATGATTTCCAGATAAAAATATTTTTAACACGCTTTTAATATATTTCGGTGTGAAATGCTCTAGTAACATATAAGTAATGCTATTATTTAGAAAATGTGAGCTTCAAATCTGTGTCCCACTCTCTACCATCGGCTCATACATTCACCTCTGTCGTTCGCTCTCGTATATCACAGTGATAAGCATGAGAAATAGTGCTTTGTTTTAATTCATTATAATTAAATATTTGAGCTAATGATAGTCCTTAAAGATAGATATTTACTAAATAGATATAAAACTATTAGTTTAATTTGAAATAATCCTTGAAATGTTATGTTTTTTACGTAACGTCAAAAATCTTGACGCGAGCCCATTGCAGAGGTGTCTGAGAGAGGAACGAACGACAACTATGTATTGCAGATCGTCTGTGTCTCAGTCCCTTTAAGACACCGAAGAGACATCAAATCTCTTTGGTTTTTGATTTTCAAGTTGTTATTTTTAAGTAGAGAGCAGAAAATAACGTATTTGAGGATCTGGTTTTATATTTTATGTTTACATTTGTGTATAGAATCTTTATTTTGTCTGCTGATAACTGAAGCTATTCTTCACATCTATTTATCCATTTTATGCAATCCGCAGGATATATTTTTTCTCGATCTAAGAATTTACTACGAAATATTGAACATTGAATATCGAATTTGTTGTACAAAAGAAAACAGTATAAATCATTTGTGAATAGCATTTAAAAAAAACAGTTACCCACATGGGCCTCAAACAAATTTATTCTCATTGGGAAAATTCATAACAGTGATATTTAAACTTTCTCCATCCCTTTGGACACACTGGAAAATAGAAAAAAGTCAGCTCCTGACTGTCTTTGCAGAAGATAAATTGGAAAGTGGTAGATTAATACAAAAAATCAGAAAAATATACATTTACCACCTAACGATATAATATATTGGATAATTCTTTCCACTTTGACATCGATTTGTTTATGACAGTGTGGGAACTTATGTTAGAGTCAGTTCGGAATATACATAACAAGTATTGTCAAAATAAGCGGAAAAAAATACATATCTCCAGGTTTATGCTTTGCTAAATTTACGAAGCGTGTCTTCTTTCAAATATCTTTAAATTCTTTCAGAAGTGGTCAATTATACATCTAATTTTTCCAGCGGAATCACGGTCATTAAACGTGCATCCAGTACTTCTGCACTGTGTCTCAAATACCACCGACTTAAAAGAAAAAAATAATAATTATCAAGTATCGAAGGATTGATCAGTTTTTATGGTGGCATAAACAACCTTGGTAATAAACAAGAGGACCATGTACCACAACGCGCTCACCTGAGTAACTTAAGTCCTGATCTCTTAAGAATAGTTTTCTTCTTTATGTTCCCATGAAAAATTGTGACTAGATTATTGCCCCACAATAATTTCAAGAGATTTCTGAATCCAAACACGTGGATGCTTCAATATCTATATAACTAAAATCATATTGCAGCTATGGAGAAGAAATTTGTGTTCCTGTCAACAAGTATTGTGTAAAATTTGATCCCGATTTAACCAATTTTAACCCTAGGTGTATAATTTGAAGAAGAAAAAAATGAATCAAAACAATCTGGAAATGTTTCCAATAATTATTCTATTGTGTATTTTGAGAGGATTTTGAAAATGTCCTCTTATTAAGACCCATGATAAACCTATTGTGGTCCTACTCTATTCCAAGATTTTAAAAGAAAAATATAGAATCTATATTATGTCAGGATGCTTTAAAATAAGTTGATTTTTTTCTGATTCAGTTGTTCTTGAGAAAAAGATTTAAATAGTTTGTTCTAAATATATTCCAATGCAAAAAGAAAAAAAAAGAAGCGAAAAATAAATCTTGATCCTCTATAGTGTATTCGTGGCCCCACCCTAGCCCCAGGTGCCATGATTTGAACAATTCCCTATGTTTGGAAGCTCACATATACGTTTCTTCTTTTCTCCTCCCATATTCGGATATTTTCTAATGTAAAATTTAATCCCTTATTGTGCCTCCAACCTTCCTCCATGTTCTGAACAATGTACGATCTACATCATGTTAGAAGCACTTTATTAGTTATCATGATCCCTGGTCCATTTTTGTGAAAAAATGTTTTAAAGACTTTGCCCCTTGATATTCAATGTTCAAATCTTATCCCCTAATGTGACCCCACCCTACCCCATGTAGCCTTGATCTGAACATTTAGAATTTACTATACCTAAGAAAGCTTAAGTTCACCTTCTCTGGTCCAGAGTTTCTCGAGAAGAAGATTTGTAATGACCCCACCCAATTTTTGCTTTTTCTCGATAATTTCCCCTTGAAAGGGGGTTGGCCCTTCATCTCAACAATTTAGAATCTCTTTAACTTAAGGATATTTTGTGACATCTTCTGGTTAAAATTGATCAAATGGTTTTCAAGAATGTGAAAAGTTTACAGACGGACGGACAGCAAGATAGACAACAAGACAGACAGAAGACAGTTGGACAGACGCCCGAAAACGGATGATCAGAAAAGCTTTGAGGTAACAATAAAAAATTTATTTACCTTTATGAGTTTCATTCTCTGCTGCATGGACCTAAAGAGTTGAAAATGGATATCCGATATGTTTTGTACCAAAATCTAATTATTTTCGAAATCACATTCAACCTTCTTACTGGCCGACAAAGGCACCCATATAAGGCAAACAGAAAGGGTAATCACACTAAGAATTCTGTAGTTATGTTGAAATGATAACAAAATATGCGATTGACTTGTATGCACAATATTGATTATATATATATATATATATATATATATATATATATATATATATATATATATATATATATATATATATATATATATATATATATATATATTCAAATATTATCCTAATGGTGCAATTATGACGTCTTCGCGTGATGCTGTTTATTTAAGGAATAACTGTCTTATTTTTTGGATTCATGATGTGATCAATCGAGTGGCTTGCGTGATAATTTGCATAAACGCCGAAGGAGTTTATGCATAAAATTATCACGCAAGCCAATCGATTGATCATCGTCATGAATCCAAAAAATCTGACAGTTATTCCTTATATTTACATGCTCCTGATTCTGCAAATTCCCGTGCTAATAGCCCCGCTTCTGTCTCTATTTGTCCCGCCCCGCACGTGATTTTTTTTAACCGCGCCTATCGATGAACCAGTTGATTTATGTAGAAATAAAGTATTTTTACAATTTGTAATTTTATCTCGGACAAAGACATTGGAAATGTAAATATTATGGGATCAGTCGTGCTACGATATTATTGATTTTTGAAAGGGGTGCAAATATGCACAGATTCTGAAATGTAGCACGCTGTTTACTCCTATCACACATTGCAAATCCTAGCAACATGCTGCACGCAAGCAACAAGCCTTAATCAGATTGCACGTGAGACAGTCAGTTTAAACAATCACTACATATACGTCGCGGATTCGAATACACTGATGAGACTTTGCAAACCGATGTCCCGTGTCACAGTAGTCATGTAAATGCTAGCTCGAAATAAGATCCCTCACGCTTTAAGTCCGTACGTGCTGAGTACAGGTCTAAATAAATTATCTTTCACTAGCAAATGGTGGCATATCAATATGAGTGAAACTTTTTCGAAGGGAAGGGACTTTACACAATCAAAACAAACAAAACCAAAATCTGTACACGCAAAACGGTTTGTGATAAACATGAACGAACATCCAGAGTTTGTAGAGAAATGACAAGTTGCTAATATGAGCCATAATAATTTTTTAATCTAAGCTCACTTCATAAACAGCAAAGAAAACATCAAACTATATTCATATGAAAACAAAATTTATTAAAATAAATATTTGGATATAAACCAACTTTAAACTAGTGTTAATTGTAACGGAAACTGTTTCAGATGTTCCCAAACGGTTCGCTCCCCCACTTCCTTATGGTGCCCCATTCCAAACAAGCTTAATTGTATTAGGTAATACTGTTGTATTAAAGATATATACTTTATTTTCTAAAGCATTTTATCGGAAAACTACTCCAATACAGTCGTGCGGGTATTAGCCAATCATATTAAAAAAAGTGTATTCTAAAAGTTCTTGTCCCAGGTAATGTACCTGTAAAATATGAAAGCTCTCTCTTTTCTCATTCAAACCAAGATTGAAGTTTTTTTGACAGGCTGACAGACTGACGATTGGAGTTTAATGAAAAAAAAGGTCAAACTTTAAGGTGATGACAGCAAAATTTATGCAAATTTAGGCCTTAATTTGCCACTCAGGGTCATTGAGCAGTGAGGGTTCTTATCTTGCCATTGCCTACCGTTACACGGTACCCCGCCTTTTACGGACTCATTCGATCCGAAAGACCCGTTACTTTCACTTTGCCGGGCTCTTGGTTTACGTCGACGTGTTAGGTTTGACACGGCGCTGTGAACGAGAATCGAACCCGGGCCTCCCGATCACAAACGAATAGCCTGACCAGTCTGGTAAGAATATAATAGTACTTTATAAATCACAAAAGTTGACGATAGAAAAGTTGAAGTGCTTTCTTTTGTCATACAGTTTAATTGTCAGATGCCACTTATCGTCTATTGGTGGTTAAACATCTAAATAAGAAACAGATTTTGCAGACTCTGTAGTGTCTTTTATTTCGAGCTCACTTGAATATAACGAGTTCACTTCAATAACTGAAAATTTTATATTTGTCCTCCGCTTTCGCTGAAGTGCAGGGTCATTAAAATA